GATGGAAAGAGAAACCAGTTCTTAGAAATTAAAGTCTACTCAGTTTAATTATCTGGTTAGTCACAATTGTTTAATTTATACTTCACACTCCATTGTTTCATGTTGGTAAAGGTAATAATTTTTCAAAAGTGAAAGAAAATTCTAAATGGAGAGAAAGTAAAAATCAGGGTAAAGTTGTATAATTCACTTTAAAATTATGATCTATAACTTTACAGGAGGCAGAAACTGGTGGAAAGTACCTGTAGGTTTACTCAACATTTTATTTGGAAAAACTAACCCCTATTTCTTCAGTGCTGCTGAGCTTTACCATAGAACCAACCCTTCTTCATATGAAATTTGGTGCAGGTAGACAATGCTAATGCCAGACATTATAACCTAGTCTCTGGTGGATCCTATCACCCTCCCGCACATATGGCCTGTGCCCGGGTTCTTGTATAAATAAATAAAATCTTTAAAAATAAAAAAATAATAATTTTGTAACCTTAATGCTCCATATTCTTTGCTGAATGGAAATGAAACTCATTCTGGTTGAAACTGGTTTGGCAAATTATCGTCCTTGTCAGGCAGTAACTTGGAATTCATACCAAGCTTTTATTGTTTATAACAAATTCATCCTGGTTTTATACACGGTATCTTAAACTTTTTATTCTTAGTGCCAATGTTCAGTTTAAATCGATTTATTTCTTATTACTGGAGATCTGCTCCAAAGTTTACGGTCCATGAACAATTCCTGTTTTAGACACAGCATGACCTTTGACTCTGCTGCTGATCTCACCAAAAGTGTGAGACCCATCCAATTCACAAGGACATCACTGCTACTATAAAATTTTACAGATTGAAGAATATAAAGCGGCACTGCTTTTTTGTTCCACGGTTTAAAAATACATGTACTTCAGCTAAAATGACTAGATTAATGGCCAAGAGCCAATGTAGAAATGGATTTTCCACTGTTCAAAGAGGCCAACATTTCTGGGGAAGGAATTTCTGAGGCTGAACCTAAATAATACAGGATTGAAGTAAAAGTTGAGCTTTTAAACTAAAAAACTCTTACGTTGTTTTCTCTGAAGCTGATTTTAGTCTTATCTTAACCTTTTTGTTGTTGTTAGAATCATTTGGATAGTGGTTTATGCTCGGTATAAACTTTAAAAGTTCACACTAATTCATTGTTTTTGATGTTGTAAGTTATAAACATTTCATGAACCATATCAAGAAATCAAATTATATTTCCCTTATTTTAATAAGCTAAACTAAGAATATTAAGAAAGAACACAGAGGGGTCTCCCTGGTGGCGCAGGGGTTAAGTCTCAGCACTATCGAGCTACCGCCAGTCACTGCAGCATGAGTTCCATCCCTGGCCAGGTTGCTGACCCACAAGGCTCAGCAGACCTCTCCTGCTTTGCCCACTGCTCCTCTCAGCAGTGTATTTTGGTAGCTGCGCCTGATCCTCTCTCTGGTTGAAGAGGTTGAAGAGGTTCCACCTCTCACACCCCATACCTCTGGCCTACACCCCAATTCTTGTATGCATAAATAAATAAATTTTTTTTTTTTAAAGAAAGAACACAGATGTGGACTACTATCTGTGATTGCCTGTCTGCTGTAAGACGTAATTAACTTTGTATTGGTTTCCTTATGCTTTTACCATGCAGACTTGGCTTTATAAGATTATTACAAGAGTCTTAAAATAGTTTCATCTTTTTATTAGTAAGTAACCATTTTTTAATGTTATTAGAGTTTTAAAATTATTGAAACCTTATTCCTTCCCAATGGGATTATAAAATGGTATTGCTGCTCTGGAAAATAGTTTGGCATTTTCTTATAAAGTTAAACATGGACTTGCCATATGATGCAGCAATTGAACTCCCAGGTATTTTTCTTAGAGATAGGAACGTTAGTGTTCACACAAAAACCTGTATTTGTTGATAGCAGTTTTATTTGTATTTGTCAAAAATTGGAAACAACCATAATGTTTTTCAGTGGGTAAATTGATATATAAAAGGTGATACCTTCACACTATGGAAAACTACTAGGGAAAAAGAGGAATAAACTATTGAAACATTCAGCAAATGAGATGGTTCTTAAGGGCATTGTGCTAAGTGAAAAAGTCAATCTCAAAAGGTCACTTGCTGTATGATTCCATTTATATAACATCTTACAATGTTAAAATTGTAGTGATTGAGACCAGTGATTGCCAGGGCTTAGGACTGGTGGGGAGGATGTGGTTATAAAGGGGTAGCATGAAAGAAATCTGTGTTAATAGAACAGTTATATATCTTAATTATGGTCATGATCATACAAACCTATACATGTGATAAAAATTCAGAATGTAGTACGTAACACACACATAACCCAAATAAGTTATATAAAAATCCAGATAAGGTCTATAGTTAATAATCTTTTACCCAAGTCAGTATCCTAGTTTTGACATGTACTATGGTTATATAAGTTATCATTGGGTGAAGCATACATGGGAGTGCTATGATATTTACATCTTGTAAATCTTAAACTATTCCAGAGTAAATATAAACTTAAGAGATCCCAAAGAACCTGCAGAGGGGAGTACTGATGAGAACTGAGTCATTCACCCCAGAGAACCTCAAAGACTGAGGAGCAAGCCCTACAGAAGGTGGGGAACAGAGAGGACATATAGAATTGGAATTATACAAGATGGCTGGACTGCTGGGTTCCCTTTACTACCCCAGTCACCACTACTACCAGCAACTCCCTCTGCCTAAAACTTCTCTGGAGAAAGCTTGCTGCCCCCTGTTACTGTTTTGTGGTTAGTTTATCTACTTGCAAATCTATATATGACTTGCTATCTAGTTAACAGACCTGTGTATGTACCCACAAGTTCCTAGCCAGCGTTTTAGGACTTTAAATATGAACTGGGGCCTCCCCGGTGGCGCAGCGGTTGAGCGCTGGGTTGCGAAGCTGCCCGCGGCCTCGGAGGCGCCGGTTCGATCCCCAGCTGCTCCCCGGCCACCGGAGGAGGGTCCCGCATGGCGCGCAGACCTCTCCTGCCGCCCGCTGCTCCCCTCAGCAGTGTACTTCGGTCCTTCTGCCTGCTCTGCTCCCCGCTCTGGCTCTGGTGAATTCTCTCACCCTCCCGCACTTCTGACTGTACCCAGTGCATGTATAAACAAAAACAAACAAACAAACAAATAAATAAAATAAAACATGCCTCTAAAAAAAAAAAAAAAAAAAAATAAATATGAACTGACTAGCTCCTTGAATCCTTGATTGGGTCATCAGATATTTTAGGACAACTTCAAAACACAACCAAAAGATAGAGAAATACCAAGCAATAAAATGAAGTAATCAGATATGGGGAACTAGAAGAAAACAAAAAAACCCTACAATTTAATCATAGAAGAGATTGCATCTATAAAACAAGAACAGGATGCTTTTTAAAGGAAATAATAAGAAAACTTGCAAGAACTCAAATTAGAAACTTTAAAAGCTTTAAAAATATAGTAGAAAAGTGAGAATATAAAGATGGAGGTATGTCATAAATGTAGAACAAAAAGACAAAAATTGGAAAATTGGGGGAAAAGATAAGATGATTAGTTAATAAATACAGTATGAAAAATCCTCATTAGAGTTCCAAAAAGACAGAAGATAAAAGGAACAAAACTTCATACCTGAAGGACATAATTTTCTATGTGGATAGTGTCTGTTCAGCTAAGGAAAAAAAAAAAAAAGTACCAAACTACTGAGATAAGACAATTATGTAGTTTCAGGACACAAAGATAGAGAAGTCTTCCAGAAATAAACAAGAGAAAAATGTCATGCAAAGATAGAAGAAATGATGGCTAACTTCTCAACAACTAAAGATGGCGGAGTAGGGTCTCCCTGGTGGCGCAAGGGGTTAAGATGCAACCTATGAAGCTATCTGCAGCCACTGCAGCACAAGTTTGATCCCTGGCCAATGAGCTACCCATATGGCGCAGCAGACCTCTCCTGACTCACCAGCTGCTCCCTTCAGCAATGTACTTCAGTCAATCCGCCTGTTCTGTTCCCTACTCTGTCTCTGGTGAATACTCTTACCTGCCCCACCTCTGGCCTGTAACCCAGTTCTTGTATGCACAAATAAATAAATCTTTAAAAAAAAAAAATGGCAGAGTAGTGTCTTTAAAAATTCTAAGGGAAAATTATTTTCAATCTATAATATTTAGCAAAATATCCATCTAATGTCAAGGTAAAAATAATTGCAGACACATGAGGACTCAAACTTCTTACACATCATTTCCTAGGTCATTCTTAGAGAATGATCTCCAGCCAAGAAGAATAAATGAAGAAAGAGGAAGATGTGGAATCTAGTTAATGAGAGTTTTAACACAGAAGACCAGAAAGGGACATGCAAGGGCAACCATGTGTCAGGGACAGTCAGGCCAGGCTAACCAAGAGGACAGAGAGTCCTTGAAGTTCTGGATAAAAATGGAATGGAAGATTAGCTGACAATTTTGTACAGTTGAAAAACAGTGCCAGTATACTTATGCTACATCTGATGGGGCATATAGAAAAATTCAAGGTAGTACATAGAAAACTAAGGGGTGGTAGGGATGAGCCAATTTTTCATCCCAGGAAAATCAAAAAGCTGCACCAAGAAAGGAAATGCAATTCTTAGTACATTCCTTGCTTTGTAGTGACCAGTATTTACAAAATCACACTAAATCTGACTATTGATTTGCAGATTTGCCCCACTATCTGAAAGTAGAGCTTTCCTATTTGGTATGATTTACTAGGTTATTTGGGGGATCTGGGAACACTAAAAAATTGTGTAATATAAATTAATGATAGCAGCATTCCTAGACCCAAATAGAACAACCTGTGGCCTTGCAAACGCCCTGCTTTATTGATAAGGAATATATGCCATTCATTTTTTTCAAGCAATATTCATGAGTTTGTGGAATGTACAATTGAGCGTACATAGGGATCCTTAGCTAAATATCACATGGTCTACTGTTTGCTGCTTTTATTAATTTGTTATGTTTGTTTGACAGAATGTTATGGAACAATTCAATCCTGGTCTCCGAAATTTAATAAACCTAGGAAAAAATTATGAAAAAGCTGTTAATGGTAAGTGTTTTTATTTTCTAATTTATACATAGAACAGCTATAAAAGCCATTTAGTAAATATTTTACTTAATAATTTTTAATGCTTAATATTGAATTTTTAAAATATCTTCAAATTGGTAGAAACTATAATCTATAGAACTTTGCAATGATAATATATTAGTGTATTTAAAATGAGTAAATTAAATAATAGGCTAATCTAGATTATGTATTTTTAATCATCAAATCATGCTTTTGACATGGCTTAATCTTTTATATCATTGCCATAAACACTGTTTTCTACTTTTTTAAAGCAAATTCTTTGTGAGCAAATAACATACATAAATATGTACTTAAAGTATTTATGTTGATATCCTGCAGCATGGGAGTATCCTTTCTCTTTTCCTTTATGTAAAAGAATTTCTTGATTTTGGGTACATCATTTGATATTAAGTAAAATGAGAAATAAAATATTTAGACTAAATGGATAAACATCTAAATTAAAGGTTGAACTTAGATTCTCATTTCAAATTGTGTGCTTTATTTAAAATTAATTCAAGTATTGAACTGACAACTGGTCTTATCTGTCAGTTTGAGCAATTTCTTTGAGGAAGCTGACTCACCTGTAAACATGCATTTCCCTACTAAAAGGAGAATGTGATCGATGATCACCTTATAACCTGTGATGTTAACAATCACCAAAGGCCAACATAGTCAAAACAGTTCTTCCTAGGTAGCAATCGTCAACTCCCAAAATAGTCAGACCTTGGTTTCACCCTCTATCCTAAGACCACCCACTAAATAAGGAGAAAATTTAGTTTTCAAGGATTTTAGATTCAAAGACAACTTCAAATCAAGTTTTGTCTTTCACATTATCTCTTCTTTCTTTCATCATAACCCACCTTTGGCTTCTCCCTGTTGACATTTTAAAAATAAACCTTGGCCTCATACACCCTCAGTAGGGGCTTTCCCCAGGAAAGAGGGTATTCTGGCTTGACTTTGGACTTTGGTTGTCCAGTACATTATAGCTACAGCCACACTTATTTACTTTCTTTTGGAGCTCTGGGCTCTTTGCCTTGTCAGGGTTGGGAAATGCAGCAGTACTGGCATTTTCCTCTCTCACCCTCCATCAGTATCAGTGACTTCTGTGGATTACCCCCTCCCCTCCCTTTCAAAAAGCAGGGACCTTGTCTTAGAAGTCTTGTACAGCTGACTCCCCCTTGGCAATTGCTTAGTCACAAGGCCACAAAGTCATTGCTGTAGATGTCCCTGTGAAGGAAATCACTGTGACCTACAGTGTTGTGTTTTTTTTTTTTTTTTTTTTTTTTCTTTCTAGCATGAGCTACCCCTTTGAGGCACAGTTTTACAAGGTGACTCAGGAAACTGCTTGTGGCTTAACATCCTGCTAACTATGCTTTTCCCCAAAGGGCTCTTATCACTTTAACACCTCCTAGGGACTATTCTGCACTTCATAGGATATTTCCAGAATTTCTGCAAGCCATCTGTATTTGATGAGGCCATTGAGAAATTTAAATAAATTCATAAAGTTCATGTTAAGAATTTATAGTATAGTTGTATAGTTGAGGAAGTACAGTCAACAGTTAGGTTAACCTAGGGCTAACAAAGCATGGGACGAGCCCTGTCACAGGAATGTGAGCGGTGGAGGTCTGTGGGGAACAGAGCAGGCCCAAAGCCTGGTAGGAGCTGAACTAGCTGACATATAGTAGGTTTCAACAGGCAGCCCCTGCTTATGAGTGCTTATGACAGAAGAGACAGCATCCAAACCAAAACCTTCCCCCGCTGTCATTGTGAGATAACCATGGGGAATGGTGTCAGATTATTAATGTATTTGAATGCAACCTTATTTATCTATTGCCACATAACAAACTTCCCCTAAATGTGGTTGCTTAAGACAAAAGTAGCTTATCATTTTTCATGACCCTGGGGTGGCTCAAGACAGCAATAGTTTATTATTTCTCATGATCCTGTAAAGTTAGTACAGGTCTCAGGACCCCTGGGGCTCACTCCTATATCTGAATCAACTGCAGCTGAACTGGGCTGGGGACTGGGCATTCCCTTCCACAAGCCGTTCCAAAAGTACCAGCCCCCTGGTTGATACTCACTGATTAAAGCAAGTCACTGAACCCAGCCACCCCTTATGTGGAGATTCTGGGAGATGTGATGCATTGAAGGCAATTATTGTAAAATTCTGCCATGAATTCTATGGACTGTGGACTTACCTGACGGACAGTCCACATATGTTAAAGAGAAATTATCTGACAGGAGTAAGTAGATTTAATTGATGAAGTATTTGGTCAGCCACTAAAATTGAAATAACATGCTTCATTCCTTAAAACAAGTGGCAGAAAGTCTCTTCAATTGTTCACAAAGGGGGTGAAGGCAAAATTATGAAAATAGTATTTTATTCTTTATTATTCTGGAAAAAGTTAATTCAATATCATAGAAGCAAGGATATTTTACTAGACTGAGAAATTTAAAGAGTTTTAAAAATAGGGCCTCCCTGATGGCGCAAGGGGTTAAGCACCACACTATGAAGTAATCCGCAGCCTCTGCAGCACAAGTTCGATCCCTGGCCGGCCAGGGAGCAACCCACATGGTGAAGCAGACCTCTCCTGTCTCATCCACTGTTCCCCTTAGCAGTGTATTTCAGTCCATCTGCCTATTCTGTTCCCCACTCTGTCGCTGGTGAATCCTCTCACCCCCCGTATTTCTGGCCTGTACCCCATCTCTTATGCATAAATAATAAATAAATTTAAAAAAAGTTTTAAAAATAAGTAAACAGTAAATGAAAAATTTCAATTTAATGTGGAATGCAAGCCAAAAATTTTGTTTAAATATTGTGTAATCCCGTGTGCTGTTTTCCTGCTAATTTGCTTTTTTTTTTAGCTTATCAGTACTTTGCAATTTGAACATGCAAGTCATGTTTTTAGCTTATCAGTACCTTGCAATTTGAAATTTTCATGCTAAAATCTTATATATATTAACTTGACAGTTTACTGGCTACAAGCCTTGTTGTTGGGTGGAGTTATCGTCTCTTCAGCTCCAGCTGAGACCAAAGAGCCAAAAAGCACCATAAGTTAGAAGTGAAGTATTTTATCTGGAGTTATGTGTACTGCCTCTGACTCCCCATTGACCTTGGGCATATCCCAGAATATCTCCACTCCTTCATGAAACGGGGTAATAGCATCACTGATCCATGTCTTAACATTGTCGGATAGATTGACTTACTCAGTGACGATATGGAATGTCTACATAAAGTTAGCCTCAGTCTCATGAAATGACAGTATCATAGGCATTGCATTTCCTAAACTTACACATAGAGTAAAAGCTACCACTTTAATAAGTTTTAACTCTACAATAAATGCTAAAATGGATTACTTTGCCATAAAAATACTACTTTTGCCTGCAGTATTTTCAACTGGACTTATATATTCATGCATTCCGTGACATGCCCTCCCCACCTTTTTTATACTTGAATGCATTTTAAAATCCATCTTTTAAAAAGGATACCCACTCTAAATTAGGGCAAAGCATCTGGGATGGCCTCTAGTTTTCTTCATAGTGAAAGAAAAGGAATCTCAAAGAGATCATGAGGGTTCTTTCAACCCCCCAAATCCTGTGGTCTCCCAAGCTACAGGAGAAATGGATTTCTATGCATGAAGCCAGACTTTGAGTAAAATGAAATAAATTATTTTCTTCAAAATCACACTAACTAGGCAGGTCTTGTTGCAAAGAGTGCTTGTTGTATACCGACAGTCTCCCCAAACTTAGCTTATTGTGAAGTGAGAGAGGTACTGAAATACAACTTCCATTTGCTTATCCAATGCTCACATTAGGACATTTTATAGAAGGTCATTCTTTGTTTCAGAAAGGGTAAGTAACTCAGACAAGCAAGTCATGTTGTTAGAAGTAAGGGTAGTATTCAAACCCAGGTGTTTCTCCTGATACCCACCACCCCACCACCCCCAAATGAACAGAAAAGAGAAACAAGTCAAAAGCAGGTTTCTATACCTTTAGTCTTCAGAGTCTATTTGAAAGGAGAAATTAGATCCCATTTGTACAGTAATACATTTTCCTGTCACTGCCAAAAAAGAAAAAATAATTCAGTTATTTTTTAAATAATTTCATTGTTTTTTGGAATGATAATGTATTTTACATTCTATAGACTTGCCCCTGGCAGTGTATGTTATTATTTGTGTCTCAGAATGTCTTTTTCAATAGAAAAAATAAAAATGCCACTAGAGGACCAGGTTCCTGGGCCACCGTACTACACAAGTCTGACTAGTAATGCTGCAGACCTGTAATGCTGTAGAATAACCAGCTGGGAAAGGGTTTTTGCTGGAGTAGATGTGCTCCCAGCCCTAGCTCGACGTTAGGAACAAATCTGCACTGGCATCTGGAGCTTACAGGACCTTCTCTGGACTTCCAGCATCTGCTCCTGAAGGCTCCCCAGGGTTGGTCTGAACTGGGGCCCCCTTGGGGGGGGGGCCCTCCCATGGGTGAGGCGGGGACTCCTGCCCCAGCCCAGCTATCAAGCACAAATCCTGCCTCTGGAGCCACACTTGATACAGCCCAAACCTTCCTGCAGCCAGACCGGGTGTTTGACGGGAAACCTGTGTCACTTTTCCTCTCCTTGTCTAAGTTATAGTTTTGTTGTCTCTTTCTGTCTAGCTATGATCTTGGCAGGAAGAGCCTACTATGATGGAGTGGCCAAGATTGGTGAGATGGCCAACGGGTCCCTCGTGTCAACAGAACTGGGTGAGCTGACCATTCGTTCTATGTAAACCCAACTTGAGCTACAGTTCTGGGGCCTTTTACCATGTGAGCCCTGATAAGAACACAGAAAGTGGCCCCAATCCAGAATATTAAGGAGAGCTGGACAAGCACTCCGGAGTACGCACTTCAGGTGATTGAGTTCTTTGCGGTCTGTTGAAAGTGGAGGCTCCAGGAGAGCAGGCCAAGGCCGGTGACGCACCTCCCTGCTCCCTAAGAACTCAGCTTCTGCCTGTGGGGCTGGGGCTGTAGCTCTTCCCTTCTGATCCCTAAATCAAGCACCAAGCCTACATTCTTTGGAGCTTTGACCTACATTCTTAATTGAAGGAGATGGGCAGACGGGGCCTCCACACTCTGGCATGAGTGTGTCCTGTGACTCACCGGGCAGAAAGTTAGACTCCTTCTCGCTGGGCTCTTGGCTCTTGCTGCTTCCAGGATTGCTCTCAGTTGTGATTTTTCCGGTTTTGCTGGTATGAATCGGTCTCCTGTGCACACGCAGAGGGCAGCCACACCTTCGGTTGGGCCAGCTACGGAGGAGACCTGGTTTCTATTTACAGAGTCTGTTCACTGCACCATCTCCTGAGGGGAAAGGTTGAGGTTTTTAATAGCCCCACATACAAGCATCATTTTAAAAAATTGTTGGGTGTTTTATTTTGCAGAGGGTCAATTTCTGGCTTAGAAACATTTCTCATAATGTAAAAGCTTCAGAAAACTAGGAGGAAAAATTGTTTGGATGTGTGTGTGTTTAAAGAATAGTCTATAATTAAAAAGTGGAAAAGGAAGTAGAGGAGGGCAGAGGAGCTTGTGTTTAAGAGTCAAATAATTCACGCCATTTCTCTCTCTGTATACACATACAAATGTCTATATATACATACATATGTGGTTCGGTCTGTATGCATATATATGCATATGTTTTTTTTGTTTTTTTTATGTTTTCAATTACTAGAGTTTATTTTTTTATAATAAATTTTATTTTTATATTCCCCATACAATTTCAACCCCCCCATTTTGCATATGTTTTATTTATATATGTGTGTGTGTATATATATATATAAAATGCCTTGAGTATTTTCAAGATTGTTTGGAAAACTCTTAACTGACCCACAAATTCGAGGTGTGATGATGGTGCTGGGGTTGGGCAGGGTTGCCAGGTATGAAGTGGACCTGGGCCTTCCTGGGCTTTCACCAACATTCTCCAATAATCTCCAACATTCTCCAGTTTGTATTTGAGGAGTTTACAAGAGTCTTCACCTGTAAACAAAAGGTTGACTATAAGCTTGCAGTGATGCTATATGATGAATACGTCAGCACTGCTATATTTAACAGAACCAGTTACAAGCAGAAAATTTTCAAAAGCCTGATTTGTGTTCTGTTAGTGCCATAACTTCTGTGTGTTCTGGCGAGGTCTGCACTAGAGTAACTCTATCCTAAGCAGGATCAATTTAATAAAATACACACAGCGTTATGGAGACAGAAGCCAACAGTAAAACTTAGGACATTTGGGGGGGGTGATTGAGATGATTACAGGGTTCCAAAAATAGGACTAAGTTAAAAAGAAACACCCTATCATGTCAGGCATGGGGGTGGGGAATGCATGCCCCTTGCTTTATAACATATGGTGCTCTGATTCACCATGGTTCCGTTTGCCTTTTTAATCTTTTATGATTCTTGCCACTGTTTAAATAGGACTTCTGTTCCACACCTTACTTTATTCAGCTGAGTTCATAATGTTGAATTAACTTTTTTTCCACAGCAACCATGTTGTTATAAACATGGACTTAAAACGTCAGTTTCAATAAGGAAAAAGTGTTGCAATGGTGAAGTTTCTTTCATGTGGATATGTATTTTATTCAGAGGAAATGGAAATAATTTTTGCAGTGTTTTATTTTTGTTTCAAGTTGCTTATATTCACTATTGTCATAATGATTAATTTTCTACTCATTTATGGCAACTTCATGATAAAATACTATCCCAGTAAGAGCATATTTTAGAGGGTTTTTTTTTTTAATTTGCTTAGTTTTTTCATTTTGTTGTTGAAATTTAAACTAAAGTACTGCCCTGCATCTGTTTAAAGTCTCTGTATGAGTTATGGACAATGCATAGGAAAAATAGAAAGGCCTCAGGAAGATTGCTTTTTTCCTCATTTTTCAAGAAGATTTTGCTGTTACTAACTTTTTGTATTGGTATCCATGATTGTAAAACTTACAAGTAAGCATAAAAATTCCATTTGATAAAACTGAAGGGGTAATACTTATGTGACTCATCTCAAAATTCTCATTCCTTAAAGAACATTGTCTGAAAAATCTTTATTCTCCCACAAAAATAATCCTATAATTATAAAAATTTCAATTTGAAGATTTTGCTATGAAGGGATAAGAAAGGAGGGACTCTGCAGAGTTGTCATTTCTAGAACTTTGATTTCAAGAGGATTTTTCATTTTAATGTTGAAGTTTTTAAGAAGAGCTGGAAACTGGAGAACATTGATTCGTATGGGCAACTGTGATAGTAAAGGTTTTGTTTCAATGAATTTTTTTTTTTAAGATTTATTTATTTATTTATACAAGCACTGGATACAGTCAGAAGCGCGGGAGGGTGAGAAAATTCACCAGAGCCAGAGCGGGGAGCAGAGCAGGCAGACTGACAAAGTACACTGCTGGGGGGAGCAGCGGGCGGCAGGAGAGGTCTGCAAGCCATGTGGGACCCTCGCCAGCAGCCGGGGATTGAACCAGCACTGCAGAGGCTGCGGGCAGCTTTGCAACCCAGCGCTCAACCGCTGCGCCACCAGGGAGGCCCTGAATTTCTTTTTTTTTTGTTTAAGATTTTTTTATTTATACAAGAACTGGGGTACAGGCCAGAGGTGCAGGAGGGTGAGAGAATTCACCAGAGACAGAGCGGGGAGCAGAACAGGCAGACTGAGGAAAACACTGCTGAGGGAAGCAACAGGCGAGACAGGAGAGGTCTGTCTCACCATGTGGGTTTTCTCCCTGGCAGCCGGGAATGGAACTGGAGCTGCTGAGGCTGCCAACAGCTTCACAGCGCTGCGCTCAACCCACTGTGCCACCAGGGAGGCCCTTGTTTCAGTGATATTCAATGAAAGGAAATAAAAGTTCCCACTGTAGCTATGCTGTGGAGGCAGCACCTCTGCATTTTGCTTGTCTCTCTCATTGGAGTAATGTTTTTCTCCCCCATGGGGTTTTACTATTGTGGGTTTACTTCATTGCTATTTCTCCTGGGCCCTTACTGCTGGACCCTTTTTCTTCAGAAGACCCCTGCCATCCTTCTCAGTCCTTCCTATTTGGGAAGTGGGGATCCAAGTATAGGGGAGCAATTACTGGGTTAGCTTTTGTTTTTTCTGCCCTTTTGTTTTTCTTTTCAAGCCTTTAGGCATCTTACAGTCGTGATATGGATGTACTTTCTCTGCCTCCCTTTCTCCTTTCTTTCCTTCTCTCACCCGCCAGTGTCTGCATGGTGTCATGCTTTAAAACTGGGGGACTAGAGAAGATAAGAAGACATCACCTGTAATCCCTCTGCTGCAAGCACTTTATAATTGCTGCGTTTCTCTCCAGTCTTTCTTCTAGCAAATATGCTCTATGTTGCGTCATAACCACAAGCAATGAGGACTTGCTCATGGCTGGGCACCTTGCATTGGCACTCAGTGCTCATGACAGTCCCAAGTTAGGTGTGGGTACTTTTACTCTCTACCTTTAGATAAGACCCAGAATGAAGCATGCACCCTGAGTTATACAATAAGTGGGTGATCTGACTTTAGAATTAGTTCATCACCTCTGCACTGTACTGCCCTTCAATGAGGTGAAGGAGAAAGGAAAGAGCCAGCCAAGAAGGTGGCTGCTGTGAACTTGTGTGACCTTGAGCAACACTTCACCTTTACCAGTGGCGGGCATCCCCAGAGGAGACAATGGCAACACGTCTGGGCTGTTTGAGGATAAAGGGGATAACATGCCTGTGATTGCTAAGGTTTCAAGGTCAGGAAGATGTGTCTCTGCTACCACTTCAGTATTCTCAAATGTTTGAGAACTCAGAAAATAGTTCCAGTTTTTTGGAAAAATTTCTGTAAAATGGGTAATATGAGTTTGTCAGGATATACATTTTTCCCTTGATTATTCATGAACCAATTTTTCATTTCTCGCCACTGTATATTTGGTTTTTATTTCATGAATCTCTACTCATACCTTTGTTTTCTTCGACTGTCTTTGGGATTACTCTTATTTTTTCCCCCTTGCTTCGGAATGGTACCTTTAACTTGTCGATTTTAAAGACAGCCAGTCATCACTTTGCACAGCATAGAAACAACCATGCAAGTCAGCACTATGTCACCTGAACAGCCAGTCGGGAAAACTGTGACTGTCCTGTGCCCTTTAAAAAGGCTCACCAAAAACACTAAAAGCATTCTTTCGGATGTTTAAAATTTATAGGGGATTACAAAAAATAGTAAAACTAATATTTCTTTAGCACACAGTAATGGAAAGTATTAGAAATACTGAGAATTAAAGCATTTTTATTTATTTCTAAAAAAAATTATATTCTTGTTTCAACAGTGCTTGTCTTATAACTTAAGCTACAGAGTTGAGCATCTTGTCTATGCTTTTCAAATTGTCATGCTTCTAAGTTTAGATTTGGTTATACTGGACACTTCATATAAATGGAATCATAATATGCAGTCTTTTGTGACTGCTTTCTTTCACTTAGCATGATGATTTCAAAGTTCATACTATAGCATCTATCAATACTTCGTTTCTTTCTATGAATAAATAATCTTCCATTATGTAGATATATCACATGTTGTTTATCCCTTTGTCAGTCAGTGGAAATTTTTGTTATTTGTACCTTTGACTTCTACAAATAATGCCACTATGAGCATTTGTGTACACATTTTGTGTGTATGTATGTTTATGGGTGTGTCGTTGCTGAATCAAATGATAACTCTAAATCTAACCATTTGCCAGACTGTTTTTCAAAGTGACTGT